GGCGGCGGCGCTGGACGATCTCGAGAAGCGGCTGCATGGAGAGCTGACCCAGCTGGACCGGTTTGTGGGGGAGCACCATGCAGAGGCGGCCCACCGCCGCCTGCTGCGCGAGCAGCACCGCTGGGACGCCAACGCCGCCACGGCGGCGGCTGCGGGCGGAGAGCAGGCCCTGCTGAGCGGCGGCGTGGCGCTGCTGTGGGAGCTGCTGCACACCCTGCCTGACTTCCGGCGCAAGACGCTGGTTGTGCAGCATGTCGTGATGTTCAGCGAACATGTGGCGCAGGAGGCGGAGCGCAAGCAGCAGGAGGCGGAGCGGCGCAAGCAGGAGCAGGCGGCGGCAAAGGCGGCGGCTTCGGCAGCGGGGGCCGAGGCGGGGCCAGCTGCGGAGGTGGAGATGGTTGATGTGGATGCGGCGGGGCAGCAGGCGGGAGCGGTGCCGCCAGCCGCTGACCCGCAGCAGCTGCTGCGGCAGCAGGAGCAGGAGGACAGCGAGGCGCTGGCCGCACTGCTGCATGCTGCGGAGGGCGGGCAGGCGTTTGTGGGCAGCAGCGGCTGGAGGGGGCGCGTCCCCGGCTATGTGTTCAAGCTGGGGGGCAGCGGGCTGGGATACTACCGGGATGCGCCGCCGCAGGTGGAAGCCTTCCTCACGCTGGGACGGGTGAGCCCCCTTGCCGTCGGGCTCGGGGCGCTGGGCCCTGGGTGCAAGGCTGCAGGCTTGAAGGGTAGCTGGAAGCGACCGCTGAAGGAGTTGGTGCTGTAACGCAAGGGCAGTCGCTCCTGGCACCGTGCCTGCCATTCACTGCTCTCAACCCGCCTCCCCCGCAGCTGCACGCGGCGGCGGCGGCGGTGGGGCGTGCGCTGCACGACCACCAGCGCCGCCTGCAGCGCAGCGCGGGCCCCGAGGCCGCCCTGTTTGCCGCCCTCAGCCTGGACGCTGTGGAGGCCAAGCTGGAAAGCGTCAAGCAGCAGGTGCGGTGGGGAGTGGCGGGCAGGCAGGTTGTGAGGCCAGGGGCAGCCTCCATAGAGGGAGGGGACCGGGGCCATGCCGTCACTCGGCTCTGCACACATGCCCCCCACACACGCTCCTCCCGCCCCATCCGCCCGCAGATTGCGCTGGTGCGGGCGCTCAAGGAGCAGCACATTGCGGAGCGCAGCGCGGCGCTCAAGGCGGCGCTGCAGGAGGATCTGGACGCTGAGCTGGCGGACGCGGCGCGCCTGCCGCCGCTGCCGGCGGGCGGCTCAGGTGTGTGTGTGTGTGTGTATGTGTGTGTGTGGAGGGCAGGGGCTGCACCTGGGTGCCGTCCTGGCAGCCTGCTGGTTGCGTGCAGCCGATCTGCGCCGCCCTGCCCGCCCTGCAGCGGACAAGCTGCAGAGGGAGGTGGACGGGTTGAGGGAGCGGGCCGTCGCGCTGCTGCACCGCATGCGCTACATGCAGTCGCGTGTCAGCGAGGCGCGCAGGCTGCAGTCCACCGCCAGCCGCCCACAGGGGCGCGCCCGCAGCCAGCAGCCGCAGCCGGGGCAGGCAGAGCAGCAGCAGCCGCAGGCAGAGCAGCAGCCGCAGGCAGAGCAGCAGCCGCAGCTGCAGCTGCCGCAGCCGGGGCCGCAGGACGCGGTGGGTAGCGAGGGTGCGGCGCCCAGCAGTGCGGCGCCGATAGAGACGGGACCTGCTGCTGAGGCGGGGGCGGAGGAGACTGCCGGTCCCAGCAGCGGCCCCGCTGACCAGGCTGCTGGCATGGAGTGCCCCGTCTGCCTGTCTGCGGTGCCTGCCGGCAGCGACATCCACGTGTTCAGGTGCGCCTTCGGCGCTGGCTTGCCACCCCACATGCTGCCTCGCCCGGTCCAAGCGCCGCCCTTCACCTGGCCGCCTGGTGCTGCCTGCCTGCAGCGGCTGCGGCCACGCCTTCTGCCCAGACTGCACCGCCAAGCTGGTGCTCCAGCAGGGCTTCTGTGCAGTGTGCCGCCAGAAGGTGACAGCCAAGCAGGTGTTCCGTGTGGTGGCGGGCGGCGCCAGCAGCGGCGGCAAGTGCGACCCCGAATTTGAAGCGCTGGGCAGGGTGGGTGGGCAGTGGCCTGGCGCCAGCTCGTCTGCTGCGTTTCAGCTCGGAGCTGGAATGCATACCCCGCTGTCTGCGGTATGTCACCTGGCCGGCGCACAATATCTGCTGTTCCGCGCACGCCACAAGCTCCCTTGCTGGCCATGCTCGCCTGGCGCAGGTGCGGCCGCAGGGCGAGTGGAGCGCCAAGGTGGAGGCGCTGCTGCGCCGCCTGCTGCACCTGGCCGCCACGGCGCCCGCCGAGAAGAGCCTGGTGTTCTCCCAGTTCCCAGATGCGCTCAAGGTGAGGCAAGCCAGACGACAGGCCAGCAAGGGCCTGGGCTGGCTGTGCGGCAGGAGCGGGAATTGCATTGCTGAGTCTTTCCCCCTTTTGAGTGCCGCTCGGTCTGCAGATGGTTGCGATGGCCCTGCAAACCAACGCCATCCGCTTCGTGCAGCTCCTCGGGGGCAGGCAGGCGGTGAGGCGGCGGCCCGCACGCCCGCTCGTGGTGGCGCAACCACCGCCCTCGCTTCGCGGACGCCCTCCTGATCAGCGCCCGCTCCGCACTGCTGCACCCAGTCACCCACGTCCCACCGTGCCCCCATGCCTCTGCTGCAGGCACGTCGTGCGGTGGCAGCGTTCCGAGATGACGACGAGGTGCGGGTGTTCCTGCTCAGCCACAAGGCGGGCGCCCAGGGGCTGACGCTGGTGCGCGCCAGCCACGTGTTCCTGCTGGAGCCCGCGCTGGAGCCGGCCATTGAGCAGCAGGCTGTGGCGCGGGTGCACCGCATCGGGCAGCAGAGGTGAGGGCTGTGGGGGGTGCATTGGGGGGGTGCACGAGCTGCTGCCAGTCACTGTGGCCTGCCCCTGTGTTTGGTGCGGCTCCACCTCCCCTGACCGGCCTGGGTGTGGGTGTGGCGCAGGCCTGTGGTGGTCACCCGCCTGCTGGTCAAGGAGTCGATCGAGCACCGGGTGCTGGCGGTGCAGGAGGCCAAGCACGCGCTGTTTGCCGGGGCGGATGGCGCCGCAGAGGACACCGCCGGTGCGGGCCGGTGCTGGCGTGGGGCGCCCGTGCTGTGGCTTGTACTTGTGCGCAGGGGCTGACCCCGCGTGGCCACGTCCCCCTGCCTGCCCCATGGCTGCAGAGCTTGCCACGACCGTGGAGGCGCCGGTGAGGAACGAGACGCTGGGCCAGGAGGACGTGGAGGGCCTGCTGGACGCCGTCTGAGGCCCAGGGTGGCGTGCCGTGACACCTGCCTGTTGCCGCCTGGGTGGGCCGGGCCAATCTTGCAGCACTCTGTCCTCTCCTCTCTTCTTACCCTCTCCTCTCTTCTTTCGTTGCGCTGCACTGTTGTTTCATTGTTCGGTTGCATTTCGTAGACTCCATTGTCAAGTTCTCAACCTGTCAGCGCACGGCATCATTATCAGAAGGGCAGGTGTAGCAGAGAAGCGCCACCAGCGCGCACCAGGCTGCGCCGCTGCGCTCACTGCCCCCCGGCCTCCTCCAGGTCAGCCAGCGGGTCGGGCGCATACAGCTTGATGGTGCGGTCGTAGCCGCCAGAGGCGACTGTGAAGGCGCCGTCAGGCGAGATGTCTGCGGCCATGACCTTGCCCTCGTGCCCCGCCAGCGTGCGCAGCAGGCGGAAGCTGCGCCCGCCCCACAGCCGGCTGGTGTTGTCGTAGCCGGCGGTCAGCAGGTAGCGGCCGTCGTTGGGCTCAAACCGCACCTGGCTGATCAGAGAGGTGTGGCCTGCAGCCGCGGGGCGGAGGGGCGGCGGCAGCAGCAGGGAGGCACGCTCAGACCAGGGTGGTGGCACCAGGGTGGACGGCTGCACGGCGCGCACCCCTAGCCCGTCACTGCTAGCAAGCACCAGCGCCTGCCATGGTGACATCATGCCCGCGCGCCTGCCCCCTGCCCCACCGTCCCCGCCTGCGCACCCGGCAGGATGGAGAGCACCGCCCGCTTGCGCAGGTCCCACACCCTGGCCGTGTTGTCCTCGCTGCCTGTGGCCAGCAGGTATCCGCTGGGGCTGAAGTCCAGCGACAGCACCGCCTTGACGTGGCCCTGGCAGGTGAAGATGTTGCGCCCGGTGCGGCAGTCCCACACGCGGGCGATGGCGTCCATGCCGCCAGACGCCGCCAGCGCGCCGTCGTCCTGGCGGGAGGGTCAGCAGGGGGTGGGGGCAGAGTGCGTGTGGGGGTCCAGGTGTGAGCGGGGTGTGGGCCCGGCCTGGTGCAGCTGCTGCGCGGTGGGCCGTGGCCAGCATACTGCCGCACGATGGCAATGGAAGGTGCGGGCACACCCGCAGGCCGAGGCGACCGGAGGTCGCACCCCCCCGCCAGATGGCAGCCCGCACCTGGAAGGCCACAGCATACACCGACCGGCTGTGTCCCTCCTGCTCCAGCAGGCACGACCCCGTCTCCACATCCCACAGCCGCCACGTCTGGTCAAAGCTGGCTGTGCCTGCACCACAGCAGCCGCGGAACAGGGCAGGCACCCTCGGCACGCACGGCAGGGGCGGTGCTGGGGTGGCGCTGTCCAGCTGTCCACAGCAAGCCGCAGCCGCAGCCCAGGCCGCACCTAGGTGCCGCCCCATGGGGTGGAAAGCGATGCGCCCTAGCCGGTCGCTGTGCCCCACCAGCGTGCGCAGCAGCTTGCCCTCCCCAGACCACAGCTTGGCGGTGGCATCGGTGGCGCCCGAGGCAAGAGCCACGCCGGTCTCCATGCGGCCTGCGCTCAAGGCAGGCAGCGCTGGATGTGTGACGGGTGCTTGCCACAAACACGCACACAATGCATAAGCACGGCACAGGTGCGTGTGTGTGTGTGGGGGGGGGGGGTCGGGCGGCCGTGCTCATGGCCTGCTAGGGAGCCCAACCATGCATGCATGTGGAGGGTGCTGCAGCAGGCTCGCCGAGCCCCGCACCCCCACCTGTGGTGGAGGCCGCCTCTGGGTGCCACGCCACGCCCGTGACGCGCTCGGTGTGGGCCTTGATGGTGAGCTGCTTGGTGAGGGAGGGCATGGCCCAGACCTTGAGCGTGCCGCTCCACGCGCCCGTGGCCAGCTGGCTGCCGTCTGGGGAGAAGGCGCAGCCCGCGATGGGCCGCTCGTCGCCAATCTCAGACGCCTGGTTCGCCATGGCGCGCAGCTGGCGCTCGGTGCCTGCCGCGGCAGCCGCCTCGTCCTCGTCGGGGTCGCTCCGCCGCCGCCGCGCCGCTGCCAGCCGCAGCGCGGCACGGCGCAGCGAGAACTGCGCCACGTCGTGCCGCGCCGCCCTCAGCTGCTGGCTGCCCTCTGTGTAGAACACTTCCGTGGAGGGCACCGCCACCGCCAGCTCCGCCTCTGCCATCTCAAAGTCGGTGGGCGGCCCCAGCGCCGCAACCGCCTGCTGCTCGTCCATGCCAGCCAGCATCTTGCGCAGGCGGTCGCGCCGCTCCATCTGCGTGCGGGCGGGGAGGAGGGGAGGCGGGGGCAGCAGTGAGCGCGGGTCAGCACGGGAGCAAGGCACGGGGCGACAAGAGGCAAAGCGCTTGCAGGGCGAGCAAGCCGTGCACAGCACTGCGATGGCGACCATTGCGACAGCAAGGTCGTCAGCCATGTGCCCAGGCGCATGCCCTGGACCACACCCCTCGCTCACCTCCCGCTCCCCAAACAGCGTGATGGGCTCCCGCAGCTGCCGCAACATGCGCCGCACTTCCTGGTCGTTGGTGGGCACCACTGTGGCCTTCATCTTGCGCCGCAGCTCAATCTCCTTCATCAACTCCTCCTGCTTGCGCATGTGCTCCGCGGCAGCCTGCGGAGGTGGGGCAGGTGGCAGGCGGACGCGACAGGCGGGTCATGGTGACGTGCACGTCGGGCACTGTCGAGCACCCTGCATTCTGCTGTGCTCCTCAACCCGTGATGGGAAATCACCCCTTCACTCACCTCTGGTAGCTCCAGCACCTCGGCATCGGCTTCTTGTCGCATGATGTTGCCCGCCGCCACCCCGGCGGCCACCGCCGCCGCCGAGTCGCCCGGCTTGATAGTCCCAAACACCAGGGCCGGGCCGCCGGACGGCAGCTTGACATCCTCGTCCATTTCTGTCGGCTCCATGGCTGCTAGCCCCTCGGCACGGGGCGGTGCGCGAAGAGTGGCAAGTGATGGCAGTGGTGGCCGAGTTGCAGGGGAGTTCAGACGGTGCAGGGAGGCGTGGAAGCTGCGATCTTGAATTTGAGATCGAAGCAGGAGCTGCAGAGAGGTTAGCAAGAAAACTTGCCACAGTGGCAGAGCTCTGCAGAGTGAAGTGATGACTTGATTCTTCAGCTGCGCCTGCTGTCCCATCACTCCCGGTCCAGGCCCAGACGCTCGCAGGACTGTGTGCCAAGCACCTGTGATCACGACTGTCGGCTGAGCACCGGTGGGGACAGAGCCATCAGCCGATAGAGCTAGAAGGGAGCCGCTGAGGAGCAGCATGGTGAGTGGCGTGGCGTGCTTCTCGCCTTCGCCGCCTGGTCCGATCGGTCGCCCAGGCCTTCCAGGGCCCTCTCCTCCCTCCCCTCCCTACTGCTGAACCCCTCCGTTTGCTTCTTGTGGCTGCAGGAGGCCGGAAGCAGCAGCCTGCCGCTCCTGACGGCGCCGCACGACGCGCTCCGCCAGGGCCTCGTCACGCTCAAGGATGGCGCCGCCGCCAGCCACCCGGTGGAGCAGATACAGAAGCTGAGCGGGCCGGCGGGGGAGAAAGCACGGCTGGAGATGCTGTCCAATGTGTACGGCACCGCGCTGCCAGCGCGCATGCAGATAGAGCGGCAGATCCTGGACAGGCAAGGGGGCGGGAGCTGGGGGCTGTGACTTGTCAGCGCTCTCCAGCAAGAGCCGGTTGCAGGGCAGGCACTGGCAGTCGATTTGTGTGCTGCAACCGACCCCGAAGCGTGTTGGCCAGCCCTGATCACGCCGCAAGACTGTGCGCTGCGGTGTTGGCACGCCGCCTGCTGCTGCCATTCGGCTCTGGCAGCCTCCTGCAACAGGAAGCCTCCCAACCCTGCCCTGCACTCTCAACATGTCGTGCCCCTGCCACCTCCTGCTGCCGCTGTGCAGGATGGAGCGCCTCCCAGGGCTGCCCTCCTCCAAGCTGGGGCTGGAGTCGATGACGGGCGCGCTGGAGGACTTTGGGTTTGAGAGCTACCTCAACCTGCCGGCAGACAGCGAAGTCGCACCGCCCGATCTGCACTCGCAGATGGAGCAGCGGCTGGGAATGGCGGCCAGCACCAAGCCCATGGCGCGCGGGCTGCCAATGTAGCGGGCTCACGCCGACGGCGTGGGCCCCCTCAGGTTCCCCGCCGCTGCCAAGTAGGCATTGTACCACTACTAAAACCAGTAACACTCGCCTGGGATTATTTGGGAATGAAAGCAGAGGAGGGGAAGGCGCCAAGCGGGTGCCAGCGCAGCGCCCGGTCAAACATTTGACCAGGTGCTTTCACGATGCATTCGCCATGCCCGGCACTCACCTTGCTTCTGCACAAAAGTCACCATTCTTGCGGCGAAGTGGTGTCGGGTTTGTGACGGGCAAGGCCCTTGCCAAGGGTCCGCGACCCTTCGTCGCGGTCTCTGGCAGCGAACGGCCGACCGGCCTGCTTAACTGCATTTAAGACGTGCTGCATTCACGACGTACCCAGGCCCTAGTGCCAGAGGGGCCATGACACCCAACGCATTTTTTGAGGCACCTGGCCTTGGAGCTCCATTGGCAGCCGGCACTCGCTTTTACGGCGGTGACAGCGCGCTCCTGGCATCCGCTGCAGCGGACACGCTTCCAGCTGCAGCTCCGCCACCCGTGGCGCCACCGCCACCGCTGCCCTCCCGCCCGCCCGTGTTCCCTGCCTCACGTTCACATCTGTGGGACTGCACTCCCAATGGCGCAGTCACTGTCGTAGATCTCAAGGTGGGGTGCCTATTAAACAGATGCGAGCTAGCTTGGTAAGGGACTATGAACCGACCGGCCTGGTTGCCCTGCAGAACCTGCAAGTGACAGTGCAGCTGGCGCCCAATTCGTGGCCTGTGTTGCGCCGGCTGCAGCAGCACATGCAGCAGCAAGGCAGCGCCACCAGCAGCCATCCCGCAGCCCAGCTGCTGGCGGTACTTGCGCCTGGGGCGAGCACCACCCGGGGGCTGGCAGTGGAGCTGACAGTGACGCCAGCGCCTCACAATGCTGCCTCAGCAGCAGTCGCGGTGCCAGTGCACTTCTGTGGGCCGACACTGCCAGATACCGCCGCGGTACAGCTGTGTGGAGAGCTGGAAGTGGCAGCGAGTAGAGCACCTACTGTATCAGGGCTGGCCAACTTTCTGGCCGCACGCCTGTGCTGTTATGCTGATGGCAGTGGTGCGCTGGTATTGCAAGGCGTTACCGTCACGCCGGCACCCATCCTGGATATCAAGCCGCTGCTGTCAAAACGAGTGGCTGCGCACCAACTGGCCAACAGGCTGCAAGACCTTCTGAGGTGCCCTCCGCCAGGCAACATGGCGGTGGCAGATGCAGCCCAGGAGTGCGAGGCAAGTGTGCCGTTCCGTAATCCATCTGTGTCTGCCATGTCTGCGTGAACAGTCAGTAATGATGGATGGTGCCAACTCGCCATCTGCCGGGCCATGCAGGACGGCTTCCTCACATGCGATCGTGCACGGGCGTTGGTCCCCTTGCCTGCATGTGAGGCGGCGGCCTATTCCATGCCGCTGGTGGGCTGCTGGGTGGCTGTGCCTGCAGACGTCGAGCACCCTTTGGTGGCAGCGGCATGTCTGCGCTACATGTGCAGGTGACTGCTGCGCAGACTGGGGAATTTGCACGTGAATGACAATCGCTTTGCCCTGAGCTCACCTTTCCCTGCATCCCGCCGCGTCCTGCAGCAAGGCGCTTGCAGATAAAGCAACCTCCACCACGGGCCCCTTCCTGCTGCTGCTATACTCACGCGGCAGGGCAACCATGCCCCTTTGCTATGAGGTGCACATCAGCCTCGAAGAAGGCGCCATCCCGTTGCTGGCACGGCGCTTCAGTATGGTGTGGCACCCAGAGCAGCCGGCCCGGGCAACAGTCGTTGATGCTACGCCCTGCCAAGACCTGCGACTGCCAGGCTGCCCGGTGGCGCTCGCCCAGCCAGCCCTTCGCATTGCAACCAGAGATGCTGGCAGCGGCACACGGCAAGGCCAGTCGGCGGCAGAACCCCGGCCCCTCTGCGAGGAGCGGGTGTCACTCAGGGCACCCCCACTGCCAGCTGCCGCGTCGCACTGGCGCCCAACACCGGCTCCCACTTTGCCTGCCCCGGCCAGCTATGTTCAGCTTTCGCCGACTGCAGCAGCAGCCCAGGACATGGAATTGCAGCAGCAGACACGCTGTGCCGTGCCTGGAGCTGGAGGTGGCACAGAGGCAGCGTCAGCCTGTCTGGCAACAGCCGCACCTGCCCAGAGAGGCATGGCAGCAGCTGTGCCAGCTGTCTTTGCAGAGGGTGCAGCGGTGAGCAGCGATAGCAGCACCACTTGTGGCAGCAGCCAGGCGGCAAGCAACTGCGGTGCAACTGGCGATGTGCAGGCTGACGCTGCCACTTTTGAAAACCTTGGTGCAACACCAGCAGATGCAGCCGTCTTGCCCAGCTGTGATGCGTGGGGCAGCAGCAGCGAGGGAAGCATGCAGTCGTCAAAGGATGCAGGCGCAGCTGCCTTGCATCAATTGGACAACCACCAGTCAGAACAGCAGGACTGGGCTGTTGCTCTGCTACCACACTTGATGCCATTTCCTGGCTACGGGCTGCAGTGCAGGAGCAGCGAAGTGGCCGAGCTGGTGCAGGAGGTGGTGGCACTGAGGCAAGAGGTGAGGCGCAGTGTTGGCATGGTGTGTGGTGCGTGCTGTCGATGCGTACCATCACTTTTGGTGGCCTCGTGTGGTTTGCAGGTGGTGCTACTACGTGCCCAGGTAGAGGCGCTGCAGCTGGCGCCAGCAGGTGTGGCTGCTGCGCCCCTATTCCAGCACTACCAGTGGCACCTGCTGGCGCTGCCACAGCAGCCGATCCCGCCACCAGAGCAGCAATTGTCTCCTCCTGCAAGCCTCTCACCCTCAGAGTCTGTTGCAACCGTGCCATTAGGCAATACCAGCACGCAGCAGCAGTCATCGATGCCGTCTGAACCGCACACCAGCAGTACCTGGGCGCCAGACAGCAGCGCTGAGGTGCATGTGTGGACCGAGGTGGAGGCTGACATTGACAGGCTGATTGAAGAGGCCGAGCGCGTGGCCAGCTCAGCATCCTGCTATAATGCACCCGAGGGTTTTGATCTTTTAGCGCAGCAGCATCCCCAAGACCAGCAGCAGCAGCAGCCGCTTCCGGAGCCGCAGCAGGACATGAAGGCGCCTGAGCAGCCATGTGCGGCTTCGGGCCGTGAACGCCAGGCCTGCCCAGCACGGCCAGAAGTCTGCAGTGGCCACAACCCCCGAATCACGCTGGTCAGAGTGCCATCCATTGCAGCATGCTCTGACGAAGATGAAGGTGGGGAAATGGCGGTTTTATTGGCTCATTAGCTGGTCCTAAGCACCTCAATGGAACTGAATAGCGAAAAATACAAAACGCAGGTGGGGATTCTGATGACGAGTTGGCAAGCAAATACGGGATACAACCGCTTTGTGGCAGCAGGCGGAGTGCCAGCCTTCGGGTGGGCAGCAGGGCTGGGGCTGGGCGCTGGGACCACTATGATGATGACTGATTTCAGCAGTGTATGATCAACTTGCACATGTTCATGGGATGAAGAGGCATCGTGCAATTTTGATGCAGCGCAATCGTAGGAATGCAGACGAGCAGGCAACATTCTGCCATCACAATTCACTGATTGCAACTGCTTTAGTAACCCCTGTGTTTGTTTTGAAGGGGCTGCAATGTGGAGTCCAGCTTGACCGCCACCTGCCGCCCGCCTGGCGCCGCCTTCCGCCATTAGAACGCGTGGCGCTTGTAGACCACCTGCACTGATTACAGCCCTCTGATCTTTGGCGCGGCTTCGTTCCAGGCCCACCAGTATGCACGCAACAGGGTTCTACAGCCGCGCGCCACCCGCTCGTGGCGCCCTTGCAGCAGCGGCCCCAGCCACCCGCCTACCAGCGCGGCTAGCGGTCAGGGCAAGCGCCCAGAAGCAGCCTGCACCCCTCGGTGAGTGGTGGATGGTGAAAGTGCGCTCGGCGCCAGCTCCTGCAGCTCCCACCAACAGGGGAAGGTCTTCGAGTCACCACGATCAGCGCCGGCCAGACGAGCAGCGCCGGCCACCAGCTCGTCTGGCAGTCGAAGCGCTTGGAGCCGCCGCCGCTGCCCTGTGCGTCCTGTGCCACCCTGTTCCTCCAACCCCCATTCTCTGCTCGTCTTGCAGCCAGCGTGGACGATGCAAACATCAATCAGTTTTGCAGCCTGGATGCCGACGGCAAGCGCATAGCCCCCATGACGCTCGGGGAGAAGGAGCAGGTCTTTCTGGAGGCTCTGTCGGTGAGTGATGGGTCGGCGTTGGTGCAGCCGCACCCTGTCATCGTGCAGGCCCTTCAATCCTGACTTGCTGCAATTGTTCTCTGTGCTGGCAGGCGTTTTACTACGATGGAAGGCCAGCCATCACAGATGAGGAGTTCGACATGCTGAAGGTGCGAGTGGGGATGGGATGGAGTGGTCTTGTGTGGCAGCCCCTGCACAGCTGGTCGCCTGAATTCCATTCGGATCCCCAATGCTGTCTGGGGTGTGCTCTCTGCCATATTTGCAGGACGAGCTGGTGTGGTCGGGCAGCAAGGTTGCGGTGCTGAGGTGCGCATGCAGCTCTCCTGGGCCCGCCTGGTCGGAATGAGCGTGCTTGGCAGACCGTCACTGGACCACCTCTTCGCTGCCCGCCCTGCAGCACCGACGAGCAGCGGTTCCTGGAGGCCCAGATTTCGTACAACAAGGGCAAGCCTGTGATGAGCGACACCGACTTTGATGCGCTGAAGCTGAAGCTGCGTCAGTCGGGCAGCATCATCACGGCCGAGGGCCCGCGCTGCAGCCTGCGCAGCCGCACCATGTACTCCAATGCCGACCCAGACTACCTGCGCATGACCGCCATCAACATCCCCGCTGCGCTGGTGGTGAGCGGAGCGAACAGGAAGCTGCAGCACCAGCTAGTTGGTATTGCTGGGGGTCTCAGCTTGGGGCCTGTGTGGGCCAGGCTTTCTGTGCGCCACAGGGAAGTAAGGTTAAAGTGAGTTTCTTTTGCTTCCCACTGCAGGTTCTGGGCGGCGTGTTCAGCGTGGACGACTTGACAGGCTTTGAGATCACGAAGCTGATTGAGCTGCCGGAGCCGGGTGGCATTGTGAGTGCTGTTGTCTGTGCTTCGCCCTCCGTCTTCGCCTTTGCTCACGTCTGCGCCCCGCCCTCGCCTGCAGGTGGCGCTCTGGGGCTTCCTGCTGCCCATTGTGTATGTGCTGGCTTCCAGCATCACTAACGTCATTTTCAGGGATGCGCTCATCCTGAAGGCCCCCTGCCCCAACTGCGGAACCGAAGCCGTGACTTACTTTGGCGACATCCTGACCGTGGCCGGTGCGCAGAGCAGAGGAGGCACTGCTGGATTGTGCCATGCTGCTGCACATGGGTTCCAGAGCCCGCAGCCGACATCTCCCCACCCACGCTGCTGCAGGCAACCGCAAGACGAACGAAATCAAGTGCAGCAGCTGCCAGAGCAGTCTGGTGTTTGATTCTACGACGCGCGAGGTCAAGTGCGACCCTCCAGAGGCGAAGGCCAAGGCAGCATGAACGGCCTTGCGGTCGCATCATTTCAGATCAGTCAACTCGGGGTCTGTCCTGCGGGCATGAGCAGCCCGTCCACCTGCCATGTACATCTACTTATTTTTTAATTCCCTCCATGCCCAGAGTCACGGTGTTGCTGGCAATCTTTTGCTAGTTGTAAACAGATCTATGCAGCTATCACTTGCGCATGCGCAGCAGCTTCCGACGCTTCCGGTGCTTGTGCTTGTTCATGGCCCGTTTCCGCTTCCGCCGCACGCTATCTGCCCGCCACTCCTGCAGGGACAACCAGCCAGGACGGGGTGACTGCTCTGCTGTTGGCTCAATGAAATAGCACCAAGTCCATGCGCCAGTCGCACCTGAATGAGTGAAGTCGGCTCCTGGATTTGGCTGGGCATCCCTCCCAGGTGAGGCGACCATAGCCATCCTGCCACAGGTTGCTGCACTGTGCATGCCGCTGCCAGGCCTTGGCTGAGGCTCACTGGCTGCTGTTGCAGTGCTGCTACTGCTGCCCGTATCCATGGAGAACCTACACAGCAGGTGGTGTGGAGCACCAATGCATCATTATTGCAGCGCGCAACACTTGATTCTGGGTGGTGGAACAGGGCGGCACGGTAGGCGGCGACGGCGACAGACAGATGCCCCCGATGCCAGCACCGCTGCTGTGCCTCACCAGGGGCTTGCTTGCTGCATGCCTCGGCTGCCAGGGCAGGGCCCTGCAGCACCGGCGCGCCGCCAGGCCGTGCTGCAGATGCTGCAAGCGGCTCGAGCGTGGCAAGCCCCCGGCTAAACAGCTTGCTTGCTAGGCGTGCCGCCAAATTACGCGTGGCTATCATCGCGGGGGACAACGCGTTGGGTTGGGGAGGACTGCAAGCCTAGTGTGGCGTCGTGATGGTGTGGGCGCCCCCGAGCCCTGCAGGCTATTACAGGGGGCCGTGTGAGGGCTAAGGCTGCATCGGATGGGGGGGGGGGGGGGGTGAGGTGGCACTGCCCCTGGCAGGCCCATCTAGCTCATCTACTACTTTCATCGAGCTTGGCTTACCCTCCTTTGACAGGCCTTGTGAATCACACGAGGTGCTTTTCTTCCCGTCGCTGCTGCTCATGGTTTTGCTGTTGCCAGCCCCATGGTGTTGCTGAGCAGGCTGCGCTTCTCCAGCAGCATGGCCAGGCTCCTCGTGCAGCGGGCTCGTGCCGGCGCGCTGCCAGTACCCAGCGTGTCTGGCACACTCCCGTGCCGCCAGCTGCCGTCTGCCCGCCTGCTGGCGTTGGGGGCGGTAGCTCCACGACGCGAGTGGCGCCAGTATGCAGCCTCCCAGCTACAGCAGGCGGAGAGCAGGGCTGCGGCCGGCCTAGAGGCTGCTGCCGTCGCGGCGCCTGCTGAAGGTGCGTTGGCGGACCTGCGGCTCACTTGCCCCTGCACCTCGCAAGTGTGGGGCCAGCACCAGCAGAGAAGAACCGGGTAGCTGGCAACGCAATGGCCAGAGCCACCGATGCACTCGTCATGCGGGGGCCCTGTTGCACTTGCCCCCCTGCTGCTCAAGAACACCCAGCCGTCTGCTTCTCGAGCCCTGACAGCCGTGTCTTTCTGTTGCCTGGCCTGCATGCAGCGCCCACAGAGGCGGTGGTGCTGGATGTGAGCGGCATGAAGTGCGGCGGATGCAGCGCCGCCGTGAAGCGCATCCTGCTGCAGCAGCCGCACGTGCAGGGCGCGGCAGTCAACCTGCTGACCGAGACGGCGGTGGTGAGGGTGGCGGCGCCGCACGCGGGCAGCCCGGAGGCGGCCGCGGCAGCGGCAGCCCAGGCGCTGACAGCCAAGGGCTTCCCCAGCGTGCTGCGCAGCATGGATGACAGCGGGGTGGCGGGGGCCGCCGCCGCGCTCAGCGAGCGCAAGGAGCAGGAGCTGAACAAGAGGTGAGGGGCGAGTGCTGGGGAGGCCATGCTGCTGGGCGCTGGGGCGAGCCTCTATATTTCCTGGGCCCATTGCTGCTCCCGCACCGCTGCTTTGTGCCGCCTCCTTCAGGCTGTGATTGCGCCCGCCCCTGCCGCTCTGCCGCCTCTCCTGCAGCACCCGCAACCTGGCGTTTGCATGGGGCCTGGCGCTGGTGTGCTGCACCCACCACCTCGGCCACTTCCTGCACGCCCTCGGCATGCACCAGTACGCGCACACAGGTGGGAGGGCGGGGCACCTTGCGCAATGGCGTTTGACGACCAGGGGGGGGGCATCAGCTTGGTGGCTGATGGGCGCCCACTGGGCACTCACCCATGCCCACCGCCACCGCCACAGCAAACCCAACCTGCTCCCTGCTGTCGTGCAGAGTTCATGATGGCTCTGGGCAACCCGTGGGTGAGCGGCGTGCTGGGCAGCGCAGCGCTGCTGGGCCCGGGGCGCCCCCTGCTGGTGGACGGAGCGCTGTCGCTGTTCCGGTGAGGAGCTAGGGTTTGCAGCGGGCAGGATGCCCTTCGCCGCCTCCTCCACGCATGTGCATACCCACCGCCGCGGCCGCTCCTCCGCCTGCTCTGCCTTGCCGAGCCCTCGCATCCATCGCACGCCGCCGGGCCCTCCCCCGCACCACAAGCACACGTGAGCATGCCGCCCCTCCTGCCTTCCCCACCCGCAGCGGCGCCCCCAACATGAACTCCCTCATCGCCCTGGGCGCCAGCACCTCGTTTGCGGCGGGCGCCGCCTCCGCCCTGGTCCCCGGCTTTGCGCTGGACCCCTCGTTCCTGGAGGAGCCGGTGATGCTGCTGGCCTTTGTGCTGCTGGGGCGCAGCCTGGAGGCGCGCGCACGCGCTGCCGCCTCTGCCGACCTCACAGCCCTGGCGCGCCTCATCCCCGATGCCGCCCGACTGGTGCTGGACCCGGGCGCGCCCCCACGCGCGGCGGCGGCGGCTGCGGCTGCGGCAGCAGGCGGCAGCGGCAGCAGCAGCGGGGCTGAGGAGGTGATGGTGCCCACCAGCACTGTGCGGGCTGGGGACGTGGTGCGGGTGCTGCCCGGAGAGCGCGTGCCCGTGGATGGGCTGGTGCTCAGCGGCAAGGCCTCGGGTGGGTGGGGGGGGACGGTGTCGGCGTATGTGGCATGCATGCGCATGCGCATGTGTGTGTCTGTGTGTTTGTGTGGTGCCAGCCCAGGCTGGGGGAGTGATGCAGGGCCGCGGCTTGGGCCTCCGCCGCTGCTGCTTTCCCGGGCCGCGACCCCTGCACCCCTGTCACCCCCCGCCGCAGTGGATGAGAGCATGCTGACGGGCGAGGCGCGGCTGGTGGGCGTGGGCGAGGGCAGCTGCGTGACGGGCGGCACGCTGGCGTATGAGGCGCCGCTCACGCTGCGCGCCACCTCCACCGGCTCCGCCTCCACCCTGGCAGGCATCGGCAGGTGTGGTGTGGTGTGGTGTGGGGCATGAGGGGGTGGTATGGGATGGGGGGTCGGAGGAGGCCCAGGTACTGTGCCAGGCTGTGGGGCTTTGGATTCATGCAGGCTCACCCACTGCACGCCTCCGTGCCTTCCTCCCTCCCTGGAAGCAGGCTGGTGGCGGACGCTCAGTCGCGCGAGGCGCCTGTGCAGCGGCTGGCGGACGTGGTGGCGGGGCGGTTCTGCTACGGCGTTATGGCCGCCTCCGCCGCCACCTTTGGCTTCTGGTCGCTGGCGGGCGCGCAGTGGTTCCCGCAGGCCCTAGGTGGGCGGTGGGCAGTGTGAGTGTGTGTGTGTGTGCGTGTGTGTGCACGCTGGCTCAAGATCCGCCAGTAAACTCATGAAGCGTTCGGCCCGCTGAACTGGACGCCCGCCGCGCGCGCCCTGCTGCAGGCGCGGTGGAGGCGGCGGGCGCGCAGGCGCCGCTGCTGCTCAGCTTGAAGCTGGCGATCGACGTGCTGGTGGTGGCCTGCCCCTGCGCTCTGGGCCTGGCCACGCCCACCGCCGTGCTGGTGGCGTCGTCGGCGGGGGCGCGGCGCGGCCTGCTGCTGCGGGGCGGGGACGTGATAGAGGGGCTGGCGCAGGTGGATACAGTGGTGCTGGACAAGACGGGGACGCTGACAGGTGCGGAGGGTGGCGGGCGGTGGCGCGAGCTGTGTGTGTGGCCGTGTGGCTGGTCAGGGTGGGGTGGTAGGGTGAGCAGCCTGTGGGGGGGACAGGGGAAAGGAGGAGGGGATGAAGGTGGCCCGGCAGCTGTGCGGGACATGTCGCAGCCCCGCCCGTGCCGCTGCGGCCGAGCCGTGGCCTGCTGCCCTGCGCTGCCCCCTTGCAGAGGGCCGGCTGCAGCTGGCGGCTGTGGAGCCGGAGCCTGGGTGCAGCGGCGACGAGCTGCTGCTGCTGGCGGCGGCTGCGGAGCGCAACACGCGGCACCCGCTGGCGGATGCGCTGGTGGCGGCGGCAGAGGCCAAGGGTGAGCGGCTCGATCTGGGATGGAAGGGGTGTGCTTGTGTGCGCTGGGGGCAAGCCTTGTGGTGCAGTGCTACGCCCTACTGCCTGCGGTGGTTTGCTGGGTGAGGTGTGGGACACCCCACAGCCGCGCCGCCCAGCTGGCTGGCAAACCCTGCCCACCCACACCTGCGCTGCCTGCCTGGGTGCAGGCCTGGATGTGCCTCTGGCCAGCAGCTCACAGACGGAGCCGGGCGACGGCGTGTGGGCGGTGGTGGGCGACCGACAGGTGGCGGTGGGGCGCAGAGAGTGGGTGGCGCAGCGCTGCGCAGCGGCGGGCCCGGCGCCCACGGCAATGACGACAAGCGGCTCCAGCGGCGCCAGCGGCAGCGGCGCCAGCGGCAGCAGCGGCAGCGGCGACACGGAAGTGTGGGTGGGGTGGGCGGGGCGCGGCCTGGCGGGGCGCCTGCTCCTCAGCGACGCGCTGCGCCCAGATGCGGCACGGGTGGTGGGCGCGCTGCGGGCTCGCGGCCTGCGCGTGCTGCTGCTCTCAGGCGATCGCCAGGAGGCGGTGCAGGCCATGGCGGCGGCCGCAGGCATCGACGCGGCAGACACCTACGCCGGCGTGCGTCCCGAGGGCAAGGCGGCGCTGGTGCAGCGGCTGCGGGCGGAGGGGCGGCGTGTGGCCATGTGCGGCGACGGCGTGAATGACGCCCCTGCCCTGGCCAGCGCCGACGTGGGCATCGCCATGGGCGGCGGCACGGCGGTGGCGGGCGATGCTGCCGGGGTGGTGCTGCTGGGGGACCGGCTGGGGCAGGTGGAGGAGGCGCTGGGTCTGGGGCGCGCCACGCTGGCCAAGATCCGCCAGAACCTGGCCTGGGCAGGTGGGTGCCAGGGGTGGGTGGACGGGTGGGCGGGCACAACAGGCGCGGCCCATCACTCGGCGCTGCCTTGCAGCCCTGCCTGCCGGGTTGCTGCCCGCCCAACGCCCTCCGCGCTGCTGGTGCCGCGAGGTCCTTGTCCTGCCCGCCCTCCACTCCCCACACCACACCTGCCCTCTCCCACCCCTGCAGTCGCATACAACTTTGTGGGCGTGCCCGTGGCGGCAGGCGCCCTGCTGCCCGCCTATGGCGTCGCGCTGAGCCCCTCCCTGGCCGCCGGCGCCATGGCCCTCAGCTCCATCGCCGTCGTCACCAACAGCATCAGCCTGCGGTGGAGCCTGAACGCCGCCGACAGCAGCGCAGCTGGCAGTGGCGCTGCGGCCGCCAGCGGCAGAAGCGACATCGGCGGGGCCAACCAGCAGCTAGGCGCGTCCACCGGCACCGCGACCTGAGCTTGTGCTAATCTTGCAGCCTTCTTTCTGGACTTACATTTCATCCTTTCTGGTCTGTGCTTCCTCCAGCAAGTGTACTAAGAATTGACTGTCTCAATCGGATGGCATTGAGTGTGAGAAACAGGTTACAACACCACGGCAATCGCAAAGAGGGCAGGCGTGGGCGCAGTGCGGTCACTCATCATCAAAGGTGATCTTGGTGCCAGTGCCCGGCTGCAGCAGCTGCTTCTGCTGCGCCTGCTGCCGCTTCTTGGCCTCCCAGCTGGGATGCAGAGGCTTGGCTGCTGCGGCACCCTTGCCGGGCACGCTCTGCCGCTGCTGTGAACCCCTGTGGTGGCTGCCGCTGCTGCCGCTGCTGCGCCCTTGCCGCTGCTGCTCTGGCTGCTTCTGCTGCCCTCCCTCATCATCAAACACGATCTTCTTGGCTGCCGCCGCCCCGCTTGAGATGCTCATCTGCAGCTTCTGCTTCTGCGCTTGCTTGGCGGCCCACGAGGGGTGCAGGGGCGCTGCATCTGCCACTGCCTTGCTCTGCTGCAGCGGCGCCACGCGGCTTGCGGCTGGCTTGTCGCGTTGCCGCTGCTGCTGCTCCTGCTGCAGGTGCTTGGCCGCGCGGCCAAACTGCATGGCCGCCAAGCGTTGCCTCGCCCGCTGCCCCAGCCGGTTCTTGGGTTTGGGAGGCGCCTTGCTCTTCTTCTGCTCCTGCTTTGCCTGCTGCTGCTGCTTGGGCAACAGCTGCTGCTGTTTGCCCTTCTGCTGGATGCCATTGGCAGCCTGGCCCTGCTGCCGCTTCCGGTTGGTGGTTGGAGGGCTGCCGCCCGCAGCATCGTCGTCGCTGCCGCTTTGAATGCTGTCATCCTCTCCCTCGCTGGCGCTGACCTGGCTCGCCACGTCCCTGCCCAACTGCTCTCCATCTTCTTCTTCCTCAGATCCGCCGCCGCCGCCGCTCTGCAGTGACTGTTCTTCATCGCTGTCAATCAGCCACCGCTCGTCGTCGCTGCCAGACTCAAACACACCAGAGTCGTCCTCGCTGTCGCTGCCGCCCTCGGCCGCGGCTGGCGGCGCCGAACGAGCGCCACGGGTGCCCAGCAGCTTTGCCAGCGCCCCCGCCGCCACATCATCCACCGCCGCCCCTGCTGCACGCTTGTTCTGCTTCTTCTGCTGCTGCTCCTCCTCCTCCTCCTCCTCGTGCTTCTTGCGCTTCTGGCTGCCTGGCTGCTTTGCAGCATGCCCGTCTCCAGCCTCTGCTGCTGTGCCACCTCCAGGGGCTGGCGCTGCTGCCGCTCTTGCTGCTGCCGCCGCCTCGCGCTGCGCCGCCTCCTCCTCCAACCGCTGCATCTCCTTCTGCACCTCGGCCAGCCGATCCTTGACCGCCTTGGCTCCCAGGATGCGGCCCTCTACCACCTGCTGCAGCGTCGCTTGGCTGCCGCCAGCGGCTGCGGCAGCAGCACCGCGCTGTTGCCCCTGAGGAGGGGCTGGCACGCCCGCATCCTGGGCCTCAACGGTCGGGCCTTGCTGCTGCTGCTGCAGCTGCTGCGGTGCTGGGGCCTGCAGCCCACATGCGCGGGCTGCCTGGGCTGCAAGCCGCTCCACATCGGCTGCCTTGGCAAGTGCAAGCTGGGCCTCCAGCTTCTGCACTCCCGCCTTGGCTGTAGCCGCAGCATCGCCTGCGACCAGGCAGAAGGAGAACTGGGTCTAAAACCAGGATCAGCTGCGCGGGGGAAGCTGCAGCAAACGAGCTGGCTCCCAAGCTCAAGGAGGCGGGTTGGGTGCGGCCGGTCCTCCGTGCAGCTTTTTCCTGCCAGGCAGGCTCACCGCTGGGGTCTCCCTTGGCCTGCTGGTCCTTGGCCTGCTTGATGCGGCGCAGTATCTTGCGCACCTCAAACTCCCTGGATTTTTTTATCTCCTGCACGCCAGCACGCACGCAGATGGCGCCTCTTGTCAGGGGACCCGGCCGTCGTTGCGGCAGCTGCCTGCCCCGCATGCCACCTGCTGCTTACCTTTTTGATCGTCTTCAGGTGGTGAAACGCCTTCTTCGCGAGCATCTGTTCCCTGCAGTGCACATCATGGGCAGGTGGGCTTAGGAGGCGGCAGCGGCGGCGGCTTCTTCTCCACCAAGCCACTCAGGGGCTACCGCTGGTTTGCACTCACTTGGGCTCCACCTTGAGCGGGCGCCTACCCTGGAAAGAGCCTCTGCGGCGCCCGGGAGCCTGCGCACATGGCACAGCATGCACCGTGCAGGCTTTAGATGAGCTGCCCTAACAGTTACATTGCTGTAGTTGTCTGATATAGGAAGTCCTCCGCTCGCTAGGCAGCCTCCTGCTCACCCCAGGGGGCTTGCGGCCGCCGACCTGCTTCATTGCGGCGTCACACCGGTCTGCACGCCTGGAGCTGAGTGCATTTATTATAACCGGATTAACAATGACACCGGGAGCCATGGCTCCGCCGCCAGCTACGCATAGCACGGCGCCGCAGGCGCGCAATCGAACGCGTGGTCTGCTCATTGGATCCAAACATTTGATCACTCAGAGAGCCAGTCACAGTTCTGGGGCTGTCTACATCCCCTTCCGCCTTCCCCCTTGAAACCTCGGGCTTCGCCCGCTGCCTCGGAGCCATGGGAGTCTCGAGCCGGCTGTTGTGCGCCCTCTCGGTGCTGTTGCTGGGCGCGGCGGGGGGCCTGGGACAGCCCGCAAGCACCCAACCTCTGATCGATGGCCTCAGCATCGGCGGCATGAGCGGGCTGGCCATGCTGCTCCAGCAGGCGGGGCTCCCAGTGCCGGAGGCTTTGGTGAGTAGAGGGTTGTCAGTGTGGCTGTACCCGTGTGCCCCTTCGTTCTTTGTTTCTCATGCGCAGCCAAAACATGCTGGGACCCCACCGTCTTCCTGGCTGCAGAGCCAAGCTGAGCAGCTGTTCGGCACTCTCGGGTCGATGAAGGGCACTGTGCAAGACATGTAAGCAGTAGGGAACCAGCGCAAGGATTGCCCAATGTTGTTGCGCATATGCACGGCAGAGGCTGCGCGGTAGGCAGGGCATGGAGATGGGGAGGCACCCTGCCCATGGATCCACTGCTGCCCGTTTCGTGCTCTGCTTGCAGGTTCTGCACCAAGCCGACAGTGACCAGGGGCGGCAAGGTGCCCAGCATCCTCTACGGCCCTCAGCTCAACATCACCATCAGCCCTGGCAACTGCTCCCTGGCCAAGGACGCGTCTCTCGGTGGCAAGAACATCACCTGCTTTGGGCCGTCGGTGTCCTACAGCAAGGTGCGCACACACTGGGGCAGCTGGTGGCTGTAATGGTTGGCCAGCTGCTCTTCTCATTCCTCTGCCCCTCGCCAACATTCTCGCCACCCCGGTGCAGGCCCCCATCAGTTTCGTGCCCAAGCACCATGCATCGGACGTGTTTGTGGATGGCTCCTGCGTGCTCAGCAAGCCCGTAGGGCCGCAGAAGGGCGTACAGGTGGAGGAGCTGTACCGTGCCGAGGACGACCTGGTGTTTGCCAGCCTGGACTGCTTCTTGGAGGCACTGAACTCGGGCGGCCTCGGCAGCATTTGGGGAAGCGGCGGAGGCGGCAGCGGCACCGGCGGCACCGCAGCCGCCTCTGCTGTGCCTCCCCTGCTGCATCGCTCAGGGAGTGATGCGGCTGCGACCGCGGCGGCGGCGCCAGCGGCGGCAGGCACCGAGGCAAAGCCAGACTCCCTGCAGGCGCTGCTGCAGCGGGCTGGGTGGCAGGTGCTGATGCAGCGAGCAGACACGGATGCGGCTGGCGCCGGCGCGCCGATGCCGGCGCCCTGAGTCTCTATCTCGCAGGGTGCAAGCTACATACCGAGAGCGGGCTAAACATAAGTTGGGTAGAAGAGGAAGGTGGCAAGTGATCATTCGTCATGAGAAAGAGGGCGTCATTCTTGTTGTTATCAAGCACTCATGAGAGAACAGGCTCAGGAAGGATTGAAGAGGCAAGCGCATCGTGAGAAATTGATCAGGGTCAGACAGACACATGTGCAGTTCACTCCTGACACACATCCAAGGCAGGTAGTTGGAAACAAAAAAATAGGTTCAGTGCAAGCTGAGAACGGGGGGCAGGCTAGTGAGCATTCGCACAGATAGTCTAGGTGGTCGAGGGCCGGCGGCTAAGAGCCTTGCCACTACAATGATGAGGCAAATCCAGTGGGCCAACCGGAGGTCAGCCCAGGAAGGCGGCGCCGCAGGTGCAGGTCTTCCTGTTGCCCATGCACACACCCTCAAAGCTGGGGTTCTGGCGAGCAAAGCTGGGCTGCGGCGGCGTGGCCAGCAGCGCCTGCTGCGCCGCCTTCCACTGCTCCGGGTGGGGCTGCAGCTGCTGGTAGAGCTTGAACAGGCGGATGGACTTGAGCGCGTCGCCCACTGCGGCGGCAGCAGCAACATAATCGGAACGACGGTCGGTGGCAGCATGACAGTCAGTGGGAGTTAGCAGTGCATGGAACTGGTGCCATGCATGTAGTGGCCCGTAGCCCCCCCAAACAGAAGGCAAACAGCCTCCTCCCGCCACAACCCACCCGCGTCGTGGCCGCCCACCGAGGTGTCCCAGTTGAGCAGCACCTTGGCCAAGTGGTCCTGCCCAAACACGCTCCATGACTTGTACTGGGTATTCCACACCCGGAACAGGCCCGTCAGGTCCATCATCTGCAGGTGGGCGATGGCAGGAAGGGGAGAAAGGTTGGGTGCCCAGCAGTGGCAGCGCGGGTCGCACAAATGTTGCACTTGAAACCAAAGGGCATGCGGGCGACAACATTGATGTCGCTGCATCAGCAGCAGCTGGCATGATTGCATGCGGCTGGCGGGCCCAGGGCACGAAGACGCCGCGCTGTTGGGCCAACAGGCAGCAGCCTAGCTGTCCCACACGCCACCCCCCAGCTTGCCTGCTCAAAGTGCTGCCCCTCCTTCAGGCCCAGCCACTGCACGTCCTTGGCGATGTTCTGGCCCACCAGGGTCGCGGTGCTGGGCAGGCACTGCTGCAGCAGGGCCACCGCCTGCGCCAGCGGCATGCCGTGCTGAGCCAGCAGCTGCGCGGTCAGCCCGGTCAGCGGGGTCAGGTAGGACACCACGGGCTGGTCGGGGCGCACGTAGAAGTTGCACAGCACGCGCTCGTGCTCATCCACCAGGGAAATCTGGCCCACCGAGCGCGAGTTGTGGTCTGCGGCAGCAGCACAAGAGGTTGGCCAGCGGCGAGCGGGCGGCGGCGGGGTCGGCGGCGGGGTCGGCACGGGAAGTGGTGGCTGGCTCCTGCTCGAGCTGCGAGTCGGTCTTGATCCCCGCCAGCCTGTTTTGCCCAGCGAAAGCCAGGGCAACCTCGCGGCACCCAAGCATGCGTTCTCCCTGCCTCCTGCCGACCTGTGCCGGTGGCCACACACTCCACATCGATGCAGTAGTAGCGGGCTGGCTGCATCCCCACGCTCTCCGCCCCCCAATAGCCCTGCCGGCCAGCCATGTTGAGGGAGGAGGAGACAGGGAACCTGTGATCAAACAGATGCAGAGAAGGGATGTTGCCAACACCCTGGTAGCTCCGTTCCGCCGCAGACAACCAGGCGCGCCGTGCATGCTGGGGCAGGTGCGTCGCCGAGGCGGCCAGTAGGCGGGCCACAGCTGAATGCTGTCCCAGGCGCCCTCACTGTTGTAAGTGTTAGAAATGTTTTACATTCGAGCTAACAACTAGGAAAGAATGGGCACAGGAGGGTGCAGCACTGTGTGGCAGGTTTGTTGACAGAGGGCCGTGACGCGCGTGAATGAAATGGGAATCGCTGGAAATAAAACAGGTGGGAAAGGTTCTGGGGTCCGACCAGGAGTTCAGAAGAGGATGGGGTTTCAAATGACAAAAAATCGTGTATCCGGACATGGTGTTGGTGGCAGGAATCACCTCTGCCTGTGCTCAGAACAGGGGGGTGTTGCCCTTCACCAGCTCCACCAGGAGCAGCGACGAGAAGCCGAGCATAGCCAGGCGGCCGTTGAGCAGCTCGGCGCTGGGGGTGAAGGGGCCAAACTTGCGGCTGGCGGGGCCCTCGCCGGTAAAGACGGCAGGGGCAAAGGATGCAAAGGTCATGGCCACCACGACGGCAAAGAAGGCCATGGTGGAGGCGCCGATGGGGTGCTGCACAAGCTCCTGGTCAACATACTTGCCTGCAATCAGGCGGACAGGGACAGGTCAAGGGGGAGTAACCAGAGGTAGGCATGCGACAGGAGCGGGCTGCGCCAGTGCCACTGCAGTGCAGGGCGACGGCGGCATCACGCGGTTCGCTCACCAGCGATCTGGCTCCACACGCTCTGGTTGGTGGTGAACTCAGTGGCCGCAGCAATCAACAGGCCCAGCATGGCTGCAAACAGATTGGGGCAGTGAATGAGTGGTTGAGCGAGTGAGTGGTGCTGATGCAGCGCATGGAGCAAAAAAAGACCGGCCAGCGCAGGGCAGCCATCCTGTGGCAAGGAGGGAGGCACCGCCGGTGCCGGCACACTGCATGGACCCACCTGCGCGGCCGTTGATGGCCTCCTGCTGCGCACCCAGGATGGAGAAGGACTCGGTAGCTACGGCACCGGCCGCAGGGGTTGCTCCCGAGGGAGAAGCGGCGACGGGCACCTCCACCACAGCGGGGTCCTCCACCTTGGCCTCCTGCACGTGCAGGCAGTCGAGAGTCACTCAGGGCGTGTTCTATGTGGAGCGCAAGCGAGTTCCACCAGTGGAACTTCCAGAAACGCGTTGGCTGGTCTGCCCGATGCCTCCCTCACCTCGGCTGCCCGAACCTCCAGACGGACGGCGCGCAGGGAAGAGCGGCTGCTGCTGGAGGCCTTGGCGAAGATGGCAGGCCCGGCGACGGCGCGGGCGGAGCAAAGAGCGGCCTGCATGGTGTTCTGCCTGGCTAGAATCGTCGCTGAGGAGGGGAGAATGGGGGTGGGGGGAGTGGGGAGCAGAAGGCGAAGGAAAGAGAGGAGAACTGTGGTGGAGCGTGGTGGTGGTGAGAGTTGAATGCCCGTCACCATCTTTCCTGCGCTCTGCCTGCTGAGGTTGCAGGCAGGCAGTCACATGTGACTTGGTCCTTGGGTCAGTGGGTCTTTAAATGCGGATTACAGTCAGGTCAGATTAATATGGAAAGGGTCATATAGCAAGGGCTGCATATGCATATTCAAGCCGCTGTCTGGTAGGTCAAAAGGGGGTGGAGGCAGAAAACAATGGAAAATTGCACTGCGGGGCATTGCTGGTCTCTGGGTCTGCTACTGTCTACCAATCTCGCCGCGGCGGGCGGTGTTGTTGGTGGGTGGGCACGCTACCCGTGGCGCAACTCTGGGGAATGCGCCTCAGATAAACTTGAAGGCGTTGGGGGATGCGGCGGCTGTTTTGGAGGTGACAAAGTTGGCAGTGACACTCTTGTAAGAAGCCAGCCCCTTGACGTACTGCAGGATGACCATACCACCGTTGCTGGTAATCACTCCCGCGTGGTGCTGCAGAGGAGGCAGGCAGCAATACCCAAGGGTGAGTTTGGTACGCAGCTGGTGCTCGCATGGTGGGAGTGCCGCTTACCCTTCCCCATAGCAAGCACCCCTAGCTCACCGCTGCGAGGCAGATGCGGGAGTTAGACCGGTAGGCAGCTGACGAGCCGTAGATGTTGCCGCCGGCGGAGAAGCAGTTCATGGGGCACACGGCGAAGGACTTGGTGACGGTGGCGTTGACGAGCAGGTTCTGGGCGTTCGTGCTGGCGCACGTCAGGTTGGCCACCGGCTTGAAGCGGTAGCTGTGACCCCACGAGCCATAGTTGGAGGATTTGATGGTGTTGGCAGTGGAGCCTGCAGATGGGTAGAGCAGTGGGTGGAGTTGTGTGACGCAGTGGAAATGTGGAACCGCGCAGAACAATGTGGCCAAGCAGCGGCAGCAAGCGCAGGTCAGATGGGCAGCAGGAGTGCGCACCCCTGTACGACTGCAGCCCGGGGAAGTCGTAGATCGTGATCAGGCCGCCGTCAGCGTTCTTCAAAACGCCCGCATGAATGGCAGCCAGGCAGATTCGAGTATCGCTTGTGAACGCTCCACTTCCATACACCTTTGCACTCATTCATTCATTCATTCATTCAGCACACAGCCCGGCCGCCTCTTGCTCGAGGGCGGCCCACTTTGGCCTGGGCAGCCCGGGCCGCCCTCCCCCCCGGGCGCATGTTCGGTGTTGGAGGGGTGTGCCCAGCGATAGGGGGCCCCTGAAGGCATGCGCCGAGGCCGGGAAGCGTGGTTCGGCGCTGCTGCACGCTTGGCGATTTGACCAGAACCACGTGCCGCCGAGCTGCGGGCGCAGTTTCCGGCCCACGGTCTACGGTCGCAGCCACGGGACTCGGCGGCACGGCGTTTGGGCCCAAGCTTGCTGCCGCCGCCGCCGTGCCCGGGGGGGCAGCGCGGCGGCGGCGGCGGCACGCTGCGACGCCCCCGTGCTGCCGAGCTGCGGCCGTAGTTTCCTGCCAGAAGCCCACGGCCACAGCCACGGGACTCGGCGGCACGGAGTTTCGGTCCACGGCTTGCTGCCGCCGCCGTCGCAGGGGTGCTGCCTGCGGCGGCGGCGGCACGGCGTTTGGGTCCACGGCTTGCTGCCGCTGCCGCCGCCGCAGGGGTGCTGCCTGCGGCGGCGGCGGTAGCGCACGTGGCAACCCCCCGCGTTTCCTTGCCTCCCATCCACCGGACCCCGTCCTGCGCTTCACTTTGTTTAGGGAGGGGCTGCTCACTGCTCATTGCTCATTGCTCATCGCACACTGCTCAACGCTCATTGCCCTATATCCCACCCAGCCGCAGGACTCCACTGCCGCCCGCGCCCCGCCCCATCTGGCCGCTTGCGCGCCCCATCCCCCCTCGATGGGGCCCGCCCACACCGGGGCCTCCCCCCTCCCGCCCACTGCTTTCTCAACGGCCCCGAGCCGGGGCTGCCCTCATTGCATACATAGTGCGCCTTTCCCTGCTTTTCTAGTGACCTAGCGTTCCGCACTGCCGTTTGGCCAGCCCATGCTCCCGTACCGTTGCGTTTCTCCCCAATGCGCCATGCCACTTTGCCAGTCATACACACGTTTCGATGCGTGCCCTGTCAGCTGCTTGCGTTGCATGTCGCCTTGCTCCACCCCTGTTTTATTGCTTTCTCTGCTTTCGCCCGGTTCCCGTCCCGTTTCGGCGGGGAGTCTATGTTGCAAGCTAGTTCTTGCTTTACCAGACTTTAAGCCCACACAAGCACAAGCAAGCACCGTGCCCCCCGCAGCCAGGCAGTTCTTGGGGCAGGCCACCGTGAGCTTGGTGCGGTTGTACAGCACGCCCTGCCCAACACCGACCACGTCGCTGCAAGGGGAGTGTAAAGCCGGGGCCTGATAAGTCGTATGGGCCAACAATCAACAGAGACAGGCAGCAAATATGCACACTTTTTCAAACTCACCGGGAGTAGTTGTTCTTGTCGCAGTCAATGCTGGGCTGCAGAGCTGGGCCGACAAACTTGATGGAGTGCGGCCAGGTGCCGTAGTTGTTAGACTTGATGGTGAACTTCGTGGACCCTGCAGGAGGAGCAGCAAACTTGCTTCTAGCTGTGAGCGGCCCAACCAACAAATTATTTACTTATGCAGATGCAGAAAGCCAACAAACAATCATCCCCATCAACCGACCTGTGTAGGAGGTGCGGCCCTTGGCATAGTATAGCGTGAACTGACCGCCAGTGTTTGTGATGGCACCGGCGTGGATGGCCGAAAGGCAGATGCGGCTGCAGCAAGGCAGGCAACAGGTTGAGCAGGTGGGGCACAGCTGCATGGCTGGCCGCAGAAACCAACTTTTCCTACCTGTCGTGTGTGTAGGTCCCCGTGCCATAAATCGTGCCTCCGGCAGCCTTGCAGTTGGCAGGGCACTTGACTGTGGCTTTCGTCGTGATGCGGTTCCTGCAGCGCGCAATACGGTGTGGTTGGTTGTTGTTTGCTGGTTCTGGCAGCTGCAGCGTCTGCAACACATGATGTGCGGAAGGCTTCCGAAGCGAGTCGCCAAGCACTCACACAGTCACAAGGTCTGCGTTGGTGCGGCCGCAATCAAGCTGGATCACGGTAGCGGCTTCCACGGCACAGCCTGCAGACGCAACAGATATTACGCAGTGTGGGTGCTGCATGTCAGCAGCGAACCACCCTGCTGGGCAGGCTGGCAACTCTCCGGTTTTCAACAGCGCCAGCAGATGTAGCTGTGCTGGGAGGCGGCAAGCCACCTACCGAGGGCCAGCAGGAGCAGCAGCGCTGCGGATGAGCGGAGGAGCCGCGACATGTTGTCTGCCAGTGGTCTAGGTGTGGACGCCTGCAACAGGGGGTAGCAGCACTCCGCGTGAGCACTGCTGGCGCCAGCGGTGGTGGCGGCGGCCGGCGGGACGCGGGGGGCCGCGTGGGTGGCAACCCTCCGACACTCTTCGCTGCATATCTAAGCATCAGCGCAGCACAGAGCAGGATGGGGCCCACGGAGGCCCCCCCGCATCTGCATCTGACGGGCTGAGTTTTGCAGGAAGTCACCGCTGCAGTCCGTCTGCCCCCTCCATCCACTATGCACTCGTCCGATGTCACCCCTGGGCCCCCACCTACCGCTGCAAGCGAGCATACAACGCATGCGCATGCTGGGCACCCACCTGGTACTGCGGGTTGCAGCAGGTGGCCTTGCAGCTGCAAGTGTGGTGTACAGAGGGCGGGAGCCAAGAAATGGAGGAGGAGGCGCCCCTCGCCCTTCTTATAGCTTTCCCGCCAAAGGGGACCTGCTGTGTAGCTTCCGTGCCAGGACTGCGGCGCGAAGCTGGGAGGTGCAGCTGCCGGGGGAGGATGAGATCCCTTTCCAAAACAAGCGCGCAGAGCTAGCCTGCGCCCATCCGCTGCCGCCGCCCCCTGCCGCCGCCCCCGCCTGCGCCCCACCCAGCTGCTGAACACCGAGGGAGGGAGGCACTGGCCACGCCCACATCAATGATAGCACACGCCTCTCATGTGGTAGGTAGGTAAAGGGGAGTCACTCCAAGAAAAAACAAAATGTACAGAGCGTGCAGAAATGCCGGGTGCCGCATCCGACGACGCGGCAGTTGCCATACCATACCGATGCACAAAAAAAGGCCGACAGCTGCTTCGTTCGATCCAGCGACGCAACTAGTGCTGCGCCACCTCAGCAGCCAATGACGCAGCCCGGCTTGCTGGTGGGGGTCTCCCGCGGCGGCACCTCGGAGTGGTGCGCCGCCTCCGCCACCAGCGGATTGACCTCTGGCTTCAGCGGGCGGCTCATGTTCTGGGTCACCACCTCCACAGGGTCTGCGCCCTCGTGGATCACCTGCAGCAGGGCAAGGCAGGGTGGGGAGACGTCCGGGAAGGCAGGTCGATGGCCAAGAGGCGAACAAGAGGCGGGGTGGTGGTGGCACGGGGGAGAGCCGGCACGGCCCGGTTCCCCTCCTGCTGCTGACACTACCCACGCTCACTCCCTGGCACGGTACGATGCCTGCGTGGCGGCAGCAGCCAGCTGGGCCGCCCACCAAGCCCCTGCCCCCACGTACCCTGTAAATGCCCGTGATGACGGGGCACTCGATGCCCTGCTTCTGCGCCAGGTGGTGCGCGCTGCGTGACGTCAGCACACCCTCCGCCACCGCGCCCTGCAGCAGCCGGGCGCACGCACGCCGCACAGCGCCAGCCAGCAGCATGAGCAAGCCTCGCCAGGGCCCGGCACCTGTTTGTATGCCCCAACGCATTGGCAATCCCTGCCAGCTGCCCCTTCCACCCCTTCAACGCACCCCACCCTGCCGACACACCCACACACACCCAGCCCCACCTTCATGGTGGCTGTGATGTCCTCCAGCTTCTCCCCCTTGCCCAGCCGCACACCCACGGTGCGGTTGCGAGATAGGTCCCCCGTGCACGTCAGCACAATGTCGCCCACACCCGCCAGCCCCGCCAGCGTCAGCGGGCTGGCGCCAGACCCAACTGCACCCAGGGTAACACACACCGGCAGGCCGAGCATCACTCAAGCTGGCGATTGCTCGAGCTGGAGCGCTCGCATGCTTCAAATGATACAGCACGGCACAGCACAGCACAGCAGCACCACATCTTATCTTGCCACCGGCCCGCTTCTCGCCACCTCGCACCAACACCCCACCTGCCAGGCGCGTAATTTCGTCGAGGCCGCGCGTGATGAGCGCGGCACGCCCGTTGGAGCCAAAGCCAAGCCCGTCGCTGATGCCACAGGCAATGGCCAGCACGTTCTTCAGCGCGCCGCCCAGCTCCACCCCCGTCACGTCGTGGGTGCGGTAGCAGCGGAAGCGTGGGGAAGACATCAGCTCCTGCAGCCCAGAGAGACAGGTGCCAGGGAGTTTTGGGGCAGGCGAAGGTGGTGGGCAGCCAGGCGCAGCAGGACAGCCCTGAGACACCTGCGACACCCAGCCGTGAAGCGTGCAGGCGTGGCGGCGGGCCGTGCCCACACCTGCACGCGCTGCGCCACCGCGTCATCCTCGCTGGCAATGGTGACGGCGGTGGGGTTCTCCTTGGCCACTTCCGCCGCAAATGAAGGGCCGCTCAGGTAGGCCAGCCTGGGGGGGCAGCCAGCGCAGGCAGCTTTGCTTCCACAGCCACAGAGCAGGCAAACGGCAGGGTTCCAGGCGGGCGGCAGACGGTTCTTGCCACCGCTGCTTCAGATACCAAATAGAGTACCAAATAGAGTACCGGGCCAGATCAGGGGGTCCACCCACACTGGCCGCCTGGCCCACCTGCTGTGCAGGTGCGGGGGCAGCACGCGCTTCAGGATGTGGTTGGGCGTCTCCAGGGTGTCGTTGAGGATGCCCTTGGTGCAGCTGACCAGGATGGCATCCCCCCGCACAGCATCCACAACCTGGCTGACCTGCAGCGGCGCGCAGCAAGGCAACGGTTCTGCCGGACAACATGGCTGGCAGCACGCATGCTTTGCACAGTGTGATGCGGAAGTCCCGGCCCTCCGGTCTTGGCACAGCAATGCGGGACAGGGGATGGACAATCACCGCTGCGGTAGGTTCCCCCCCACCCACCCCACCCACCCACCATGCGCTCCACAAAGGGTGTGGGAATGACGAGGAGCAGGATCTCGCCATGCGCCGCCACCTGCTTGATGTCGTTGGAGGCGCGCAGCGACTCGGGCAGCGGGAAGCCCTGCACAGCGGAGACAGGTAGCAGGGGAGGGGTGTAGTGGGGGTGTGGCTGGAGGGTGGAGCAGGCGGCAGGCCGTTGCATGCAGTCACGTGGCCGCCAGTCCACACGCACGCCCCTCCCCGCCCGCACGCCACGCCGCCACACACCGGCAGGAAGGTCTTGTTCTCGTGCTCCTCGTTGATCTGGCGCGCCACCCGCTCCTCCAGCGCCCACAGCAGCACACCATGGCCCATGCGCGCCGCGTGCAGCGCCAGCGCCGTGCCCCACGCGCCGCCGCCCAGCACGCCAATCTTGGTGCGCTCGCTGCTCAGCCCGCTGCCGTCGGGGGCGGCCGTCGCCATGGCGCCTGCTGCTGCTGCCGTTGCTGTGTTGCCCAAGTTGGGGGCGCTTGCAGCCTGCAAGCGGCGGGACAAGCATGGACAGCGTACGTATGGGTGGTCCCATGATGCTGACAGCGGTCCCTGGTGCAGGTGGGGTTGACCAAAGGGGATGCAAGAAACGAGTGCGGGCTCAGTCAAGGTGAGAAGTGCAGAAGCTCCCGGTGGATCAGCTTTAGAGTCGGCGTCATGTGCAGGCCGGGCGACGCTGCCACCAGCGCCAGGGGTGCAGGCGCCATCCCTCCGCCCCGCCAGGCCGCCGCCTGCCCATTGCTGTAGGGCCCGGAAAAAATAGCGAGGCGCGTGGCTCGTGCGCTGCGCTGACCGTGGGCCCGCACCCCGCGGCCAGGCCTGGAAGGCACTGAGCCGGTGGGGGGGTGTCTGTGCGCTTGCGACAGCCGACGCCAACAGCTTGCAGCCCAGCGGGGGTTCGCACAGTGGGCATCGAGGGCGGCAGCCACGGCAGCGCGGGGGACAGGGACGGACGCCTGCAGCCCTCATGGAGCTGACCGCAGCTGGCAGCCAAGGGTGCCACCCGCGTGGCAGGCCGCATAAACCCGGCTCAGACCTTTTACTAAAACATCACTTCCACCCAGGGATGCAATGCAGAGGGGGATGCATGCAGGGAATGAACAGGCAATGCCGGGGATTTTGCCGCGGTGGGCGGCGGTGTTGGCGTTGCAACACCCCCGCTGCCCCAGATTGCACGGTGCATGGCCCACAGCCTAACGGCCATATCGGTTGAACGCTGAACAGGCTTGCAGGCGCAAAACGGGCGAAACAGGGCAGATCGACAAGCTAGCGCGTTGGTGCAGGCCCGCTGGAGCTCACGCAGGGTGCGAGGGACGATCACAAACGCAGCGGATGTCCACCGGAACTCGAGAACGCCTGCTAGGTTGTTTGCGGTGGCCTGCGGTTCTCAAGTGTCGGTGAGCGGCGCGGTGCACGCTCCAGAGGTGGATGGATCACTGCCACTTGCTCAATTGTGGCCATAGAGGCGGGTTTGGGCGGTCTTGCAGATTCGTGCCAGCGAGGCAAAGTGGCTTCGAAAGTGGCAGCCACCCGCAGCTCGGCCCGCGTCCATCCATTATCTGCGCGCTGCCCTGCGCTGCTGGCTGATCGCTGTGTGGCCATGGGCACGCAGTTGGAGCCGGAGTGTGTGCTCGACTCGGACGAGGAGCCGTGCCTAGCAGCAGGCGCCCTCAGCCGCTACGTGCGAGTCGCAGAGGAGGAGGAGGAGGCCGTGCTGAGCGATGGGGAGCCGGCCTGGGTGGCACCAGCACAGTGGGCAGAGCCCGAGCCCGCCGCCTTGCGGCAGCTCAACGCGCTGCTGCCGCCTAGCACGCTGCAGCAGCAGCTGGCTGCGCAGGGCAGTAAGGCTTTCTCCAGGTCATTAGCCTCCAAGCCTGCATTCTCCAGGGCCAGCAGCAGCACCAGCAGCGCTAGCAGAGCATCCAGTTTTCGGCGGCCGATGAAGACGGCTGCAGCGGCTGACGCCGACCGTGCCGCCGCAGAGCGCGCCGCCACCCAGGCAGCGGAGCTGTCGGGGGCGCTGGAAGCAGTGGGCAACGATCCTTCAGGGGTGACACAGCTGCGCGACGCTGGCACCGGGCTGCTAGAGCAGCAGCCGTGCCGGTCAGCAGCAGCGGCGGCGGGACGAGCCCCTGGCGGCGCCTCGGCATCGTTCCTGAATCGCAGGGTGCTGCCCCGGGTGCCCAGCCGTGTAGAGGAGCTGCGACAGAAGCTGCAGGGATGCCCTGCCGCAGTGGCAGCAGCAGCAGCAGGAGATGAGGAGGGCGATGCAGATGATGAGCTTGAGCCGGCCACCGCCAGCGCTGCTGAGCCACGGCCCGCCGCACCCCGCCAGCCACCGCGGCAGCAGCAGCAGCAGCACCAGCAGTGGAGGCCCCCGCCGCTGCCTGCATTGGCTTGCGCCACCTTTACCGTCTGCCCTGCTGAGGCGGCAAAGCCCGAGCCAGGCCTGGCCCATCCCCCGGCAGCAGCAGCCCCGGCAGCCACCTTCCACCGCACCGCTGATGGCCTGAATGTTGTGCGACTCAATAGGCAGACCCACTCAAACGCCGCGGAGGCGGCAGGCGGCAGCGGCAGCGGCAAGGCCAAGGGCAGGACGGACAATGTGAACAGCGGGTGGGGCAACAACTTTGTGCGCATCGATCTCAAGGTGGGGGCAGCATGCATCCTGTGGCGAGCTACTAGTTGGGGCCCAGAGCTGCGGTGCAAGATGCAAACTGCTGTGGCGCGCTGCCCGGCCAAGAGTGTGCGCCTGCCTGCCTCCCCGCCTGCCCACCTGCAGAAGGGGCGCGGCAGCACCAAGTTTGGCACCAAGTACGGCACCAAGTATGGCGGCAAGAAGCGCCATGGAGGCAGGGGCGGCAGGGGGGGCAGCAGATGGCAGGGTGAGTGCTGCTGCGGGCTGGCTCGCTGCCTGGCTGCCGCTTGGGGCCTGCCTGCGGGGCGGCCAGCCTTGCGGCTTGAGGCACCACCAATGCGAGCCATCCATGTGGCCATGCCGCCGCCCACGTGCCCCAGCCCACCCCTGCGCCATGCCGCCGCCGCCGTGCAGTGCCACGCATGCGCCAGGTGGGCGATGGCGCCGACTATCTGGAGGGCTGGCAGGGCAGCCGCATGCGCTGCTACAAGTGCGGCGGCACCGGTCACTTTGCCAAGGACTGCACCGCGGAGCAGCAGGCGCAGGCAGACACGGGGGCTCTGTGCAGCGCCAGCAGCGGCGAGGAGGGGCAGGCGGGCGGCCAGCGCGGCAGCGCCGCAAGGACCGCGCGCCATGCAGCAGCAGCTCTTCCTCAGGGGCAGCCCTGGCTGCCTGGCCAGGCAGGCAGCGCGCCGGGTGCAGCAGCAGCAGCCGCCTCCACCGCGGCCGCCGGCCCCGCCGCCAACAGCCAGCGGGTGGCTTCAGCGGCCAGCCTGCCGCCGCCGCCTGCAGACCCTGCGGGGCAGTACGCCGAGGTACTGGCGGATGCCAGCGAGGAGGCGCTGACGGGCGTGCTGCGCGGCGTGTTTGGCCACCCCGCCTTCCGCGGCCTGCAGCTGGCCAGCGTGCAGCGGCTGCTGGGCGGGGAGAGCCTGCTGGCCATCATGCCCACAGGCATGGGCAAGAGCCTGTGCTACCAGCTGCCCGCGGTGCTGCTGCCGGGGCTGACCCTGGTGGTATCCCCCCTCATCGCGCTCATGCACGACCAAGCCGCCTCGGTGCCGCCACCGGTGCGTGGGCGGGGATGGACGGTGTGCCTGCTGCCGCCCGCGAGCGGCGCGCCACTCTGCGGCGCTGCCGTGCTGCCGTGCGTGCTCTCGTTCCCTGCTGCGAAGCATTATAGCTGACAGGGGCTGGCTTCTGTGCTGCCACGCTGTGTGCAGCTGACTGCAGCGGTGCTGTGGTCGGGGCAGAGCCGGGCGGATGCGCTGCAGGTGGGCTGGGGCAACGGCGGCGGCGTGCCCGCGTGTACATGTGGGCGGGTGGGGCCAGGAGGCGGAGCAACAACAACAACAGATATCGGCAGCCAGCTGACGCCTTGTGGCTGGCTGACACCTGGCTGGCTGCGCAGGTGCTGGCCGATGTGGCTGGCGGCCGCATCAAGGTGCTGTTTGTCAGCCCCGAGCGCCTGAACAACCCGCACCTGCTGGAGGCGCTGCGGCCGCGCATGCCGCTGCCGCTGGTGGTGGTGGATGAGGCGCACTGCGTGGCAGGTGGGCGAGGGGCAGGCAGGGAGGCATGGCGGCTGGTGCGGGGAAGGGGCTGGGTGCGAGGCGGGATGGCACTGGGGAGAGCGTCAGCGGGGCAGCATGCGCCCCCAGCTGCTGCATGTTGCCAGCCTTCTCCTTGGCGCCGCCGCTGCTGCCGCCGCCTGCTGCCCATCTCCATCCCCACCCGCCTCCCCTGCAGAGTGGGGCCACTCCTTCCGCCCTGCCTACTTCCGCCTGGGCGCCGCGCTGGCCAGCGGCGTGCAGGCGCAGCGCATCCTGGCGCTCACCGCCACCGCTACCCGCGCCACAGAGGCAGCTATCCGGCAGGTGAGCTGCAGCTGGCGGGGGCGGCTGGCTGGCTGCGCCCGGGGCTGGGCTGCGGCCAGGCTGGCGGGGCTTGTGGCCCAAAGGTGGCAGGCGAGCAGGCACCGGCACGTGTGGAACAGGAGCATTCCACCCTCCCATCTCCTCCTCTGCTGGCCCCCACAGGTGCTGCGCATCCCGGCGGAGAGCGTGCTGCGGGACACCGCCGTGCGCCAGAACCTGCGCCTGCAAGTGCTGCGCACCGCGGGAGGTAGGCAAGGGAGGGCGCGGCAGGGCGCCGCTGGCAGGGCCGATGGCGGTGTCTGGGGTGCGTGGACACGCCTGCAGACGCCGCCAGGCGCGTGTGCCTGCCACCACCCACGCCCCGCCTGCCACCACCCACGCCTCCCCTGCGTCCGCCCGCCCCGCAGGCGGCTCCAGCCAATCCAGCCGCGACCGCATCTGCGGCCTGCTCACCGGCAGCGGCCCGCTGGCGGCCTGCCGCTCCGCCATTGTGTACGTCGCCTTCAAGGAGGACGCCAACCAGCTGGCACGCCTGCTGGGGGCGCGCGGCATCAGCGCCCGCGCCTACCACGCCGGCAAGGACTACCGGGTGCGGGGCGCATGCACGCATGCCTGCCTGCCTGCCTGCCTGCCTGGAGGGGGAGCTGGGCCTGGGGTGGGGGCGTGAGGGAGGGAGGCTGGGGTGGGGAGGGTGGCCCTGCCGCTCAGCCAGGTGCCGCAAATCTGGTGGCCGGCACAGTGTGGCACGTTCTGGTGTGCTGGTTGCGCCCACTGGCGCTGCGCCTCCCCCTGCCCCCTGCCCCCTCCGCCCGCAGGAGCGGTCTGCTGTGGAGTGTGACTTTGCCGGCGGGCGGGTGCGTGTGGTGGTGGCCACGGTAGCCTTTGGCATGGGCATCAACCTGGCGCGCGTGTCAGCGGTGGTGCACGCCACACTGCCGCGCAGCCTGGAAGAGTATGTGCAGCAGGTGGGCGGGGCGGGGTGGTGGTGGGGCAGGTGCGTATATGTGCTGCGTATGTGTGTTGTGGTGGCGGTGGTATGTATGCGGAGCATGTGCGTGAGGATGGGTGCAGGCCCAGCGCGGTGAGCAGAGGAGTGGCGTGTGTGCCTGCTGGTCTCCGTGCCCGCCTGTGCACCAGTCGCTGTCCCTCCCCGATGCCCTGCCTCCCTCTCCTCATTCCCGCCGCCGACTCCTGCCTGTGCTGCGCCCGCCCGCGGCAGGTGGGGCGCGCGGGGCGCGACGGCGGCGAGGCACGGTGCGTGGCACTGCTGGACGACGCCGACTTTGTGCGCCTTCGCTCGCTGGCGTTCAGCGGAGTGCTGGACCTGGCTGCCGTGCGCGGCTTCCTTGAGGCTGTCTTCTCGCCCGTGGCGGAGGGGGAGCAGCGGCGCAGGCAGGGGGGCAAGAAGGCGGCAGCGGCGGCGGCCAAGAAGGCGGCGGTGGCAAAGAAAGGGGCGGCCGCGGCGGCAGCTTGCTCCGCCGGCAAGGGCAGGGGCAGGAAGCGAAAGGCCGCCATGGATGCCGGCTCGGAGGAGGAGGAGGGAGAGGAGGAGGAGGACGGAGAGAAGGCAGCAGCAGAGGCAGGAGCAGATGCGGATGCAGAGGCAGAGGCGCTGCCAGGCAGCAGTGATGCAACAGAGGAGCCTCCAGGCGAGGGCGAGGAGAGCGGGCAGCAGGTCGCCGCGGCGGCGGCGGCGGCGGCAGCGGCAGCGGCAGCGGCCGGGCCGCCGCCGCGGCGTCGGTTTGGCGTGCTGGCCATGAAGCGCCTGGCTGCTGAGCTGGACATGCGTGAGGACAGCATGGAGAGCGTGCTTTCCTACCTGGAGGCGGACGCGGCGCCCTGCCTCCGCATGCTGCCCGCCACTGCTCTGTCGGTCAAGGTCTGCTTCTACTCGGCAGCTGCCGAGCAGCTGGCGGTGCAGTACCCGGTGGTCCAGGTGGGTGGGCACCTGCCCTCAACAGCCACCACCCTTCCATCACATGCACTCTGCGCCGCATCTCTGCCGGCACGGCACCCGCCGTACTTGGCCCTTCTGCCGTTGTTCTACCACCCCCAACTTCCTGCGCTGCCCCTCTCTGCAGTCTGTGCTGGATTCGTGCCCCAACCCGCGCAACGGCGTGTACAGCGTGCCCGCCGCCAGGCTGGCGGCGGCGGCGCAGCAGGCGCCGGGCCTGGTGCTGCAGCAGCTGCGCGGCATGGCGGCGGGCAGCCTCATCAGCTTTGAGCTGTCGCGGGAGGAAGGGCCTGCCTACGAGGTGCGCAGCGGGACACGAGGGGGTTGGGGCGTTGATGGAAGTGCCCCCGGCTGGTGGGTGGCTGCTTGCAAAGCAGCCAGCGGGGCGCTCGGTGGCTCACTCCCCCCGCGCCTCCCCTGCCTGCACCCTCCCCCCAGATCCTGCACACCCCTGCTGACCTGGACGGCCTGGCGGAGCGGGTGCACGCCCGGCTGGCGGCGGTGCTGTCGTGCCAGGTGGAGCGCCTGGATGTATCGTACCGCGCCCTGATGGCGGCGGTACAGGCTGGCCAGGCGGCGATGGGCGGCGCGGAGGAGCAGCAGGCGGCGCAGGAGGCGGCTCTGCGGCAGGCATTGGAGCGATACTTTGATGAGGGGCAGGCTGGAGGCGGCAGCGGTGATGGCGGCAGTGCGCCGCCAAACAGCAGTGCGGCATTGGAGGGGGCAGCGGCTCCGGGTGGACAGCCCCACACGGCGGCGGCTCTGCTGCTGGACACGGCGGGGCTGCCGCTGAAGCGTGCGGAGCCAGCGCTGCTGGGCGCGGCGCGGGCGGTGCTGCGGCGCAACCGGGAGCAGGCGGGGCCGGAGCTGTCTGGGCGCGCCCTGGCCCGCATCTTGCACGGCGTGGGCAGCCCCGCCTTCCCGCCTGACCCCTGGGGCAAGCGCATGGGCGCATTCTGGGGCAGCCAGATGCACGTGGACTTTGCGGCGGTGCTCAAAGCGGCGGAGATTGTGACTCGGGATGATGCCTGACGGCCCTGGCGCCGCCCGTGCCCGCTGGCCTGCTGCTTGCACGGCGCTGGGAGCTGCCCATCTGCTCTCATTGCGGGCAGCCTGCATCTCTTGTGGGCTTGGGATGTGTAAGAGAAGCTCAGGATGAAAGGTTGGACCGTTTCCAGATATGTCATGCGCGCCCACCCGGCGCCACCCCGCCATGACCAACCACCTGACGTGGCACGAGATGCTCCCTCGGCCATCGCCTTCTCACTGGGTGCGTGCATCGAGGGCTATTACAGCAGCGCACCCCCCTGGACATCGACCACCCCAGCCTGCGGGGCCCCATGCTCCGCTGCAGCCAGGGCTCCCGTGCCTGAGGCCCTGATTGACGCGGGCGATCAGAGACTGGCTGCCAGCCTTTCCGAAGCCTGCAGCAGAAGGCTTGACCACCAAACATGACAGCCCCCAGTGGGGTAGGAGTCGGCCCTCTGTTGGCGCTGCTGACCCCCAAGAACAAACGTCGAGCCCTGGGAGTGCTGGCCCTGGCGGCGGCAGCATCCTATGGCGCTTCCCAGTATGCGGCGCAGCAGCGGCGGCGCCAGCGGCGCCAGCAGGAGAAGAGGTACGGCCGCAGCAGCTGCCTCAACTGCAGCCATCGGTGGCATTACAACACTGTTGGCCTTCTCCGCTGCTCTTGACCGCTGCCCAAACCCTGCTGCTCTTTCCAGGCGGGGCGGTGCACCGGACGGCGCCGGGCGCAGCCGCCGCGGCTCTGGCGGCGGCGGCAAGGCGCTCAAGGAGCTGCTGCCGCTGCTGCTGCGCGTGGCTGGGCGCAAGGTGCTGGTCATTGCGCTGCTGGCGGTGGCCCGCACCGCGCTATCCAACCGCCTGGCCCGCCTCCAGGGCTACCTGTTCCGCGCCGCCTTCCTGCGCCGCGTGCCGCTGTTCATGCGCAACCTGGCGGGTGCGTGGCGGCAGCCTGCTGCCGCGCTGGCTGGCTGATGTGTCCTGCGCCGCCACCTGTGGCAGCCGAGCCATGCGGTACAGCAATTGTTGAGGAGCCCGCTGCTTGGTTGCTTGAGGCGAACACCCTGCCGCTCCGACAGCGCACCCTGCCGTGCCGTGCCTGCCCTGACCTGCCCTGCCGCTTGTGCACCTCCCCTGCCTCCCTGCAGAGAACCTGGCGCTGTGCGGCGTGGCTGCGGCCCTGGAGGCCACCAACCGCAGCTGGGTGTCGCACATGGAGCTGCAGTGGCGCCGCCTGCTCACAGACCGCCTGCACGGCACCTACTTTGCGGACATGGTGGGTGGGGGGCGGGAGAACCTGAGCTGGAAAGCTTTCCTGAGCGGCCCTCGGGAGCGTACTCCCAACCTCCCACTTCCCTGCCCTCCCTGCCTGCTGCCCCTGCCTCTCCTCGTGTTCCTCCCCCACGCTGCTCAACTTCCTCCTCCCCGCCCCGCTGCTCCCCTCCCCCTCGCCGCACCACCGCCACCCACCCGCCGCAGACCTACTACAAGCTGAGCTATGTGGACCGCCGCATCGACACCCCCGAGCAGCGCATGTGCGAGGATGTGCCCAAGCTGGCGGCGGGGCTGAGCGACCTGACTCGGGAGCTGGTGGCGGCGACTGTGGATGCAGCCTTCTATGCCTACCAGCTGAGGTGGGTTGTGGTGTGGTGTGGGGGTGGTGGCATCCAACTGGGGGTGGGGGCGGTGCGTGCGGGAGTTGGATGGGGGTGCAGCAGCCTTGGCAGCGGGATGCTAGACCCTTGGTGCTGTGCCTGTACCGCGCTGTACCTGCCTTCCCCCCTGCACGTCTTGTGCTGCAGGCAGTACAGCGGTACGCACCGCTACACCGCCGCCATCCTGGCCTACGTGTTTGGCGTGGGCAGCTTCATGGCCGTTGTCTCCCCCAACTTTGGGGGCCTGTTCAAGCGGCAGCAGGCGCTGGAGGGCACGCACCGCGCGCTGCAGGTGGGAGCGGAGGGAGGGTTCGGACTGTGGGCGCGTGTGGGTGGTGGGGGTGTCCTCCCTG